GTTCACAGTACAAATGTCTGGCTTGTGCTCCCAGTACCCTACAGTGAGCCTACAGGGTGGGAACTACATACGCATCAAGACCAGAACCCAAGAAGAGAAGGAGGGATGAAGGGAGCCGCCTCCACGGGGCTATGCTTCTCCGGCCCTCTGAGGCCAGGGAAGAATCAGAATGAGAGAGCAGGAGATGGAAAGAGAGCGCAGACAGCACAGATTAAAGAATGGAGATCATTAGACCCGGCCGGAGGCCACCAGTAAGCGTAAGACTTGCATTCTCGGGGGAAGCCAGAGGAATCTATATTTTTGAAATTCCCACCTTTTTGGAACTCTCTGTAGACCAGGCTGGGCTTGAACTCACGGAGGTCTGACTGCCTCGCCCTCCCAAGTGCTGGGATCAAAAATGAGCACCACCACTCCCCGCAGCATGATCCCATTTTTTTTAAATCACCACGCACAGAATGTTAGCTGGTTTACTTCTGTCACCTTGTCACAAACGGAGAACCTCAATTTGAAAATCTGGGCTGGTCTGTAACACAGTCAGACACCACCCCTTCTCGAAGAGGTCCAGTTCCTAATCACACTCCAGTCCTGCGAAGGAGACTCAGTGGAGGAGTAAGATGGCCACAGGATCTGAGGATGACACAGATGAGCATCGCCCAGCCTTTGGTCCCACTTTATAGACATGAGGCCAAGCTACACGGGAAGAAAACGGCCTGAAACCCAAGAAAGGAAGAGGTGGCAACTATAAATGAGTCTTAGGCAAAGCAATCTGACAACCTGCAAGAAAGTGCTCCAAGAACCGCACAGGAGAGTGCTCCAAGAGAGTGCTCCAAAAGCCACAGAGGAGGGTGCTCCAAGAGTCATACGGGAGAGTGCTCCAAGAGAGAGTACTCCAAGAGCCACACAAGAGAGTGCTCCAAGAACCGCACAGGAGAGTGCTCCAAGAGTCATAGGGGAGAGTGCTCCAAGAGTCATAGGGGAGAGTGCTCCAAGAGAGTACTCCAAGAGCCACACAAGAGAGTGCTCCAAGAGTCATATGGGAGAGTACTCCGAGAGAGTGCTCCAAGAGCAGCACAAGAGAGTGCTCCAAGAACCGCACAGGAGAGTGCTCCAAGAGTCATAGGGGAGAGTGCTCCAAGAGTCATAGGGGAGAGTACTCCAAGAGAGAATGTTCCAAGAGTCACACAAGAGAGTGATCCAAGAGCCACACAGGAGAGTGCTCCAAGAGCCACACAGGAGAATGCTCCGAGAGCCGCACAGGATAGTACTCCAAGAGAGTGCTCTAAGAGTCATACGGGAGAGTGCTCCAAGAGTCATATGGGAGAGTACTCCAAAAGAGAATGTTCCAAGAGTCACACAGGAGAGTGATCCGAGAGCCGCACAGGAGAGTACTCCGAGAGCCACACAGGAGAGTGCTCCAAGAGCTGCACAAGAGGGTGTTTCAAGAGCAGCACAGGATAGGGCTCCAAGAACCAGAATTGAAACACAGGCTCTCAGCACCCCAAGGGCAAAAGCGAAGGCTAACAACACAGGGCTGGCTAGGTATGCAGAAGTATGCCTTACACTTCACAACCTGACAGTACTTCTTACCAGCCACTTTTAAGAGCTATATTTCACAGGTGATAGCATCCCAGGGCCAACCGAGTTATGTGTAGCTACCCAGTTGTGAACTGAATACCCATCGCTACACTGGAATCAATGCCAAACCCTTCACTCCCAAGATGGCATTAGTGGATAGTGGCATCCACAGATTGACAAGTGGAGTGTCTGCGAGGGAACTAGAATTCTGAGAGGTCATGGGGTGGAGTCCCCAAGGATGGATGGACTGGTACATCTGAAAGGGGCTGAAGGAACCAGTGTGTAGCTGGGTCAGGGGGGCAGGGGATACCACATGCAGAATCTGCAGGCATCCGAGTCTGGGACCTCCTAGCTGCTAGGATGCATGTGTGCTGTTCAGGCCACCAGAGTTCATGTGGTGTTGCAGTAACCCACACTAAGAAGACAAGTTCATTCCACCCTGATGGGACTTGAGTCTCACGTAGGCTCTGCACATAGACGCACTTTCGTCATCTACTAGTCAAAGGCCCTGCCATAACAATAGGGCAGCAAAGGCTGGCAATGATTATCAATGCTCCTGGCGTCAGAGAAAATAGAAAAGCAAAACAAAAAAGACAGACAACAGGTGTAGGGGTTTCATAATCCCCCCTAAAAGACTTAAATCACAAGTAAAAAAAAAAAGATGCCCACAGCCTACCCTCATCTCACACACCCCACCCCACCACACACACACACACACACACAGAGTAGTTAAAATGTGGCTGTAGGGAAGGCTGCCAGGCAGACAGCATCTGAGCCAAGATTAAGAAGAAAAAAAAAAAAGGAATAAAGTGGCTGAGAAGTCATCACCCCCATCAAGAAGACTCACTTGAACCAATATCTGGTCCCCAGGAAGTCCTGGGGGTAGGGACAGAGAAGAAGGCTGGAGTGTTTGAACAGGACAGACAGGTCTCTGTTCTTGAGAAAATTGTGTTGAAAAAGAAGGGTGAGGTGACACAGGTGAGCAAGCACACAAACGAGAAATACCGGGTTTGTGATTGCCACACCTGCAAATGGTGGCTAGGCAGGCAGGGGAGTGCGTGACACTGGGTCACCAGCATGACCTGAGTCATCAACTGTGATCAGTTGGGCCCCAAGTGACCAAAATTCATTCAGTCACACAGAGAACTCAAAGGAGCTCTTTTCACTTGAGCAAAGAATTCCCCATTTGGGAAGGTCATGGTGGAAACCTTGTCACTGCACAGACTGAGACAAACAGAAAGAAGACCTGCTGGGCTGCGCACCAGTCCAGGCAATAGACCAGAGTGTCTTGACCCCGAGTGGGCGACAGACATAATTCTGGCCAATGAACAGGCACAGGACATTGCAGAGCCAGAGCCAATGTTTTGGGGACAGGAGTGACAGAAAGAAAAGAATGACAGGACTGTGAACAGTAAAATCACTTAGAGAGATGGTGAGGACTGGAAAGGTACAAAACTGACAGAGGAGAGCCAAGGGTTCTATTCCAGGGGGCGTAAAGGAAACAATTACCTGAATTTGGAAAACTGAGACAGGAGGATTATAAGTTCAAGTCAAATCTTGACAAGGTAAGAAGACACACACACACACACACACACACCATTCAGAAAAGAAGAAAAGGATGCAGTAGACAGAAGAATTTGGGACTTTCTGGACAGGGCTAGTCTAAGTAACATACTGAGATGTTAATGGCACTCAGAGGAACAGCAAGGCTAGTCCATACCCAGGTAGGTGTAGAGAGAAAACCTAGGTCAGTTCGCAGCACACGCTAAGGTCCCCTAGACAAAGGAAGGAGCATGAGGTGTGGAAATTAGTCTACAGACACAACTCATGAAGGCCAGCTGCTCACGTGACCACACATACCTCTGCAATACTTGGCCTGTGCTTACAACCAGGTGAGAGATGAGATGCACTTTCCTCCCCCCCAAAGCTCTCCTGCCTCCCCCCAGGTGACATTTACTTTTATCTACACGCTACTCATCTATACATTTAATGCATGACCTTGACCTCTCAGGACAGCGGCCTCCCTCAGATTTTCCAAAGAAGCAGGGAGAGATTTGAGGAGACTTTCCTCCAAGGAAGGTTTAAGTAGCCCTTAAGTTCTGTACCCTTAGCCCTCAGAAAATGGCAACAAAATTGCAGTGAGAACACTTTGCACCTGTTGTCACAAGGTATCAAAGAGACTGGGGGGGGGGGATACAAGACAGGCTGTAGCACAGCAAAAACCCACAATGCAAAGACTGTGAGACATAAAAACAGAATGGATAAGAGAAAAGAAGTAAAACCCGATCAAAGGATAAATGGGGGGTGGGGCAGCTGAAGGGCAGAAGGTAACCCAGAATGAAACTTTGGGTATTGTTTCCTATTAAAACTGGATTGCAACTCTCTAGGAACTCTCACTCTGCACAAAAATGAAAAGAGAAGGCTAAGGGGAAAAAAAAATCCACCCACCAAGGATGTGCAAAAAAAGGGGCACCTCCAGGAGCCTGTTGGGTCACCCAGGCAAACATAGCACAGAGCCCTTGAACACTTCCTGGCCTAGCCACCTCTACCTACTGCCCACCTGTCCATCGAGGTCTGGGTGCAGAGCAGGAATGTGCCTGAGGATGAAATGCTGGGCACAGGTCTGAGTCCATGCTCTCTGCCTGGCCTACCAGCCAGGTCTGGCATAGGGAGAGGGAGGGTACAAAGACCTGGGATGTCCCCCCTTTCTGACCCTCCATATAGCCTTCAATAGACAAGAGGCTAAGAGGGAAGGTCAGAGGACAGGAGCGAGGGGAACACTCAGAGGGAGGACTACAGAGTTGAGGACAGAGGATAGAGGATTGAAGGAGGAGTACTGGATGATCCAAGACTTAAAGGAAGAGAACCAGAGGCCTGCAGGGGGTACAGAATGGCTGCACATTATAAGGAAAAGGACTATAAGGTGGGACCGCAGGGAGGGGCATCAGAAGACCAGAGAAGACAGAGGATCGAGGGTCGGAGGGAAGAAGTGTGAGAAAGGAGGATCAAGGATGGAGGGCTGGAGAAGGATGGATGATGGGAGGGAAGAGGGTTGGAGGAGGGCAGGGGAGGACGGAGGATGGGCGGGAGGAAGGCAGAGAATCAGAGGAAGGATGGGATGGAGGAAGAGCGGGAGGGGGGCTGAAGAAGGGCAGAGGAAGGGAAGGAGGAGGGATGGGGAAGGACGAAAGGTCAAAGGGAGGAGGGCCGATGGAGGACGGGGGAAGCGAGAGGGGGGGAGGAAGGAGAGCTGGGTGATAGGGGGAGAAAGACTAGAGAAGTATAGGAAATAGGGATGAGATCTGGAGGAGTACTGAAATCTGGGGGAGGACAGAGATCTGGGAGAGGACGGAGAGATGTGGGGGAGGAGGGCTAGAGGAGGAAGAAGGATCAGAGGGACAGAGGTCCCGAGCGCGCTTGCTTACCTGCTTGAAGGTGCTGCAGAGGAAGTAAACCAGCGAGAGCCCGAAAACCAGGGCGAGCACCCAGCGCTTGCGCAGGACCCGGCGCCACAGCAGCTCTGCAAGGTTCTGCATCCCGGAGCGGCGCAGGCGCAGAGACGACCCCGCGGCATGACCCTCCAAATTCGCTCCTACCCCTGCCCAGCCTCCCCGCAGCAGCCGCCCCGGCCACGTGATCTGCCGCACGCTCCGCCCCGCCCAGTGATGCCTCCGCCAGGCCCCCTCCGTGCTTTCTTGCCATTGGTCACTGCAGAGATACGGCCTTCTATTGGCTGAATCCGGAGGCAGGGGCGGGCCGTCGCAGACCAGAGGCCGGCGTTGCTGTGCCTGGGTCCTAGCGCCGACATTGCGCACGTAGATGAGCCGGCCGGAAGTCACGTGCCGCCCGGGCCACGCCAGTGATTGGCTCGGCTGGATTAGAGGAGGCCGTGATTGCCGAAGTGTCTGGAAGGTAAACGAAGGCGAAGCTCGCCCTTCGCTCCCCTGCCTCCCTGCAAGCCTGGCCAGAGAGGCTTCCCCTGTGCGCGCGGTGCGGCCCTGGACCGGCCTGGGGACGCCGCTTGAGCCCAAGCGTCCTGTAGGGTGTGTGTGGCCTCATAAGGAGGGCCAGGGTGTGTAGAACCGAGCCGGTTCATTCATTCATTCTATTGCATCCTGCTTGCAAGATACGTACCAGGACTCGCTGTTGTACCGCCTGCCTGCAGCAGAGTCGTGGGCATTAAATTTAGGACGTTGCGTCAAGCTTGTAGATGGAAACGTGGCGATGCTGTGTTTTATTTTCCCCGAGGATGAGTAGTTGGGCCAGGGGGAGTATTAAACCAGATTGCAAGTTCTTGGGGACTTGTTACATGATGACATTCCCTTTCTTTATAAAGATGGTGGGGTCGAGGGTGTAGCTCGTTGATAGAGCGCTTGCCTGTATATGAAGATGGTGCCAAAGAGTCTTTCCCCACCTAATTTAACCTTGCAAAAGCGATAAAGATAAGCGACTTAGCTGGTGGCGTGCTAGGTTGGTGGTCTTGGAAGGCTGTGCAGAAGTAAGAAGTTGGCCTGAGCTAACAGACAGTCTGTAAGGGGAAAATACTCCAGGAAGCTGAACCTGTTCGTGGTAGCATATCCTTTATTTCTTTAAAGATGTTTTTATTTTTTAATTATGTGAGTGTGGGTTTGTGCATGTGAGTGCAAGTGCCTTGCACGGCCAGTAGAGGGGGCTGAATCACCTGCAGCTGTAGTTACAGGTAGTTGTGAGCTGCCCATGTGGGTACTGGAACTGGACTGTGCAGAAGCAGTGTACACACTCTCCAGGCCCTGTCCCCCTTTTTTCTTGATCTTTTATTGGTGTGGGAGGTGGGACAAGGTGCAGGGATCTAAGAAAACTGTGTCTTGGAAACCCAATGTATTTGTACAAGTACTTGATCACCCTCCATCTCTGCAATGCTGAGGTAGAGGGCAAACCAGACACTGGTCTCCTCATGGCTCATATAAATGAACATCTATGTAAATGGTAAGGGCTGTGAAGACAGCAGCCAGACCCCACAGGAACCGGGGGAGAAGAGAAGCCCTCCAGAGGAAGGTGCCATTTGTATCAGAGAAGTCAGCTGTGTAACCCTCAGCTGGAAAAGCATCCCAGGGGAGGAATAGCAAGTGTGAAGACCTGGAGCCGGGGAAAGGCTAACATGAGAGTGTCTAGGCACGACTCACAGAGCTGAGGTTGTAAGCAGTGATGATGTTTCGGGCACAACCTGGAGGCTTCTGGCAAATCTGGTTTTACTAGGAAGCCAGTGGAAGTTCGAAAATTGTTTTCTGTATTCCCCAATCAGGATTCATGATTTTCTTTCTTTTTCTTCCTGCCGGTGGGGGGGGGGGGGGGGGGGGGGGGGGGGGGGGGGGCGGGGGGGGGGGGGGGGGGGGGGGGGGGGGGTGGCGGTAGGGGTTAACGGGTATCCACCTCTTTACAGTTAAAGGGGCACGCGTGCATGCACGTGAGTGTGTGCGTGCATGCGTACATATGCGGGGGTGTTTGGATGCTCACATGCGGGATTGCACATGGGTGTGGATGTGCATACGCGTGTGTGCCAGTCAAAGGTCACCCTCGGTATCATTCCTTGGGAATCAGCTATTTTATTTTTGAGATAGGATTTCTCACTGGGACCTAGGGCTCATCATCTAGAAAGACTGGGCCAGGGCGTCCCAGGAATCCTCTGGTTTCAGCCTCTCCAGTGCTGGGATTACATGGCACAGCACCATGCCCGGCTACGTACAGAGGTCCTCCTGCCTCTGTGCAAGCACTTTATCAACAGGGCTATGACCTCAGCACCCAGGAGTTATAGTTTGCTAATAAGCCAAATCTATTGAAGCCATAACCAGCCGTAAGTGCCTCAGAGGGGGGGTAGCTAAGAGGCTACAGAACTACGGGGCAAATGGGATCACCTGTTATAGTTACTAGGTGCATCTTTCCGTTTATTGCATGACAGAAGTTGTCCCATGACCTGTTCACCCAAGTGCTTTGTGCCACCCAAGGTCTGGTGTGTTGGAGGAGCCCCTGCCCTGCGCTTCCCTCTGAAGAGAAAGGAAAAAAGGCCTGCTGTCTCTGGGATGCGGTAGCCACATTGCAGCAGGAGCCCTGAACGTCCACGGCCCATTTCGTCAACATGGAGGTCTGAAGTCCATGTGGCTCCTTGCGGTGCACCAGGTGCTGTGTCTCCACGGGAAGTCGCGCCTTCATTTGCCAAATGTGTGAGAGGGAAGGAGGCTTTCAGTCTGACCGTGCCACAGAAGGCCACAGAGAGGTTTCTCATCTGTCTGAGGTCACACAGCAAATTAAAGGGCGGGCACTGTCTGCTTCTCACTGCACCCCATCTAGCGCCTATCCGCAGTCGCATGAACTATTTTCTTCTTTGACATAGAGCCATCTCCACCTGTGGCTCTCAGGACCTCCCTGTGAGGTGGGGTAACAACTCTCTCCTGTGGGATACTCGAGTTGCATGGCAGAAATGATAAAAAGTCTGGAAGTTGTCAGAGAGCCCTAGCCATGTAACATAGGAGGGATGCTTGTTTATAGTTACCATGGCAACAGGCAAAGGTTGTGTCCCGGGGTCATGACTCACACACACGTGTTGACTTACAGGTGCTAAGGAAAATGCAGAGGCGCCACAGTAGCAACACGGACAATATTCCACCTGAAAGGTAAGAATCCTCTTCCCCCAACTCCCCAACATATGGGGACCCTACACTCTGGATGGTGAAATGAATCGAAAAATACCCGCTTCTCGATATCAGTTGTTGACGATATAAAACAGACCCAACGGAAAATTGCTTTGCGGCATATTTGGCAGCTTTGTGTTCCTCCAAAAGCACACTTGAGGCGTGTGACTTCATAAAGAGAAAGGGTTTTTGTAGCTCACAGTCTTGGAGGATGAGAGAGCAAATGGCAAGGCTGCCTCAGTGGCCACCTATGACCTCATCACCTCAGGTCATGGGTGGCCGTGGTGGCTGGCTGCATGTGTGGGTGGGAGTGATTTACTTCTCAAACATGCAGAGAGGAGAAGGTGGACTCCTTGGAGGAGAAAGTGCTTGTCCAGCAAGCGCTGGACCAGAGTTTACGTTCCTAGAGCCCATGTAAAGACAGGCTGGGCTGGAGAGATGGCTCAGAGGTTAAGAGCATTGCCTGGTCTTCCAAAGGTCCTGAGTTCAATTCCCAGCAACCACATGGTGGCTCACAACCATCTGTAATGGGGTCTGGTGCCCTCTTCTGGCATGCAGACATACATGTAGACAGAATAATGTATATATGATAAATAAATAAGTATTTAAAAAAACTAAACATTTAAAAAAAAAAAAAGACAGGCCGGCTTAGCAGTCACCTGGAATCCCTGTACCCAGGAGGCAGAGACAGTAAATCTCCAGGCACTTCATCTGACTAGACTGGTGGGGGTCGGCTTGCTCCGGGTTCAGCAGGAGATGCTGCCTGCAGAAATAAATACAGTGGAGAGCCATGCTCTGCTCAGACTGTGCTCCTCCCCATGCGGTGTGCACCCTCAAGGACCTGAAGACTACCACTAGGTTCCACCTCATAAAGGCCCACAGCACCCCCAATGGCACACCCCATGACCCTCAGGGGACCTTCTCCTTAGAGCGCAGCAGCCTTGCAGCAGGGACTGACAGAGCAGCTGCTGTTGTCTTAGGACCATTCCCAAGCCCTGTAGGACAGATCCACAAGGATCCATGAGGCTCAGATGAGTGATCGAGTGATCATTCCTGCCGGGTTTTCCTTCAGAGACGCCTGGCCTCCGCCAGCTGCTACTGCACACTGCACGGGGTCCATCCTGCCTCTTGCCGCACAGGCATCTATCTTTCGGCTGGGAAGTCCAAGATCAGGGATCTGGCAGCCCAGTGCCTGCTGAGAGCTGCCTCCTCTTTCCTAGAAGGCTGTGTGTGAACCATTGAGTTTATTGGGGTCACTTTCTGGGGACCTTGAGTGATTCAAAGGAAGTTGCATCACCAAAAAGCCCATCCCAGCAGGGCTGCAACGCTGGAGTTTTCCCTTCAGGGGACCTTCCAGCACCCACATATATATACAACCAGCTCCCCTGGAACCACACATAGCTGTGGGGGCACAGGAAGCAGGGGAGTAGTTTCTGCTTTTCCCTCTGTGAGGCCCAATCTTATGCGGATTGGGTGCAGCGGTCCTGATTTCAGGAGGGAACAGCCACACCTTTATCCAGTCTCGGGCATTTTCATCGGCACACATAGTGGACAGATACAGCAGCTGTAGTGCCGTTGGTAGGAAGCAACACCTCCAGGTCTGTGTTTCTCCAGCCGTAGAAAGGTGGTAAATGCCAGCATTGCTGAGGATGAAGGAATGTGTCTTCTTCCTGAACACGAGGAGGCACAGAGGCAGCATCTTTCTTAAAGTTAGCGTGCCTGTTCGGATCTCCTGAGCTGAGGACAACTTTTCTTTCAAGTAAACCCAGACATCTTTGGGGACAGAAATCGTGACAGAAAAAATACTATCCACCATGTATTGAGGGCATATGCTTGCCTCTGTCAGAGCAGCCTGAAGACGAGAGATGGAGTTCAGAGAGGGCAAGTCCATTAGCTAAAGTCACACAACCAGGAAACGGCAGGACTAAGATTTGGCCTTTGGTCCATTTGTTCCAATC